CCGTGGCAAGAGGGGCGGGCTGTAAGGAGACAGGTCCAAGTTGCTCAGCGGATAGCAAATGTCAGTTAGAAGTTTCTTTTTGTAGTTGCCTTGACAGTCAAACCTGAAATAAAAAATGGAATTACTTTAAATACCGCTCATCTTTGGTCTTGAATCGTGGGAGTTTCTTCAATGCTACCCTAACAAAAGGGAAGGAATAAACCACACTAAACTACTGCACAATCTCAAAGACCTGTAGTCCTGAGAAGCATTATGGTAAACTGACACACAATGCACTAAACCCACAGGAGATGTTTAGCAAAATAAGTAAATAGCTTCAGCATACTTCTGCTTATTAAAATGGCCCCAGGTGCCAAGAGCAGTCAAAGCTCTCGTATGAGCATCACTGTGTCCTACAAGGTTTGGACTGCACCGTCACTGACAACAACTCTTTCTTGCCAAGCTCAATGCCTCTTTACTATGTAATATTTAATTACAATGCTGTACTTCTATCTTTTACAGTGTGGCCAAGCGTGTGATGTGGGAGAACAGAAGCTAAATTCAGCATGTAAAGGGAAAAGTGTATTCAAAGAGAAATACTAGCATTATATAGCATAGTTATACACAGTGAGCAAATACTCAGCATGTAAGTGGGGTGTAGTACAGAATAAGAAAAAAATAGCTCTTGAGATTTTAGGAATGCAACTTGAACGTATGATGGGTCTGGTTTTTGTCACTGCTCACCTAATCCTCCATTTTGAAACCTCCAGGTTTCAAAATATTTAAAAGACCCAGTTCTAGTGATTTTTATCCAAATATAAGTGACTGTCTGTCATGTCTCACAAATCTCTACCATATGTAAACTGTACCTCTTTAAATGAAAAATAATTATCTTTGGTGCCTTGGTTAAGTTGGCCTTTACTGCAGCATCTTGTTTTGTCCCACACCATGAACAAAGGATTTGGTTGTTCCAAGTCAGTTTGTCTTGCTGAAAGAAGCATCTGAGACAGTCCTGTTGGGAGAAAATAAGTAAATAAATAAGATCAATAGATCTCTTCCCGTTACTTCTGCAAATTGAGGTGTGACACAGCGAGGCTCATGAACACTCACAGCTGCTTTTGAACAGTTCTTCACATGTCTTTCACCCCATGGCAGCTCAGGGGCAGCCCTCCCACACTGTCACCAGCCCCCACGCAGGCTACAGGCTGGTTGAGAAACCCCCCTCTTCACAGAACCCAATCCCCAGCTGAAGAGCATCCCTTAGGCCCCAGGGATCCAAAGCAGTTAAAAACCTGCATCTTCTTAGTAACATGTATTAGTCTAAGCTTCCTATTTCCATCTCAAGCAGAGACCACCAGTATCAGACATCCTACCTGCAGAGAGCACGCGCTCTCAGAGGGGATGGGGAGAGAAAGAACTGTGAAGATCTCGGGTTTGTCAGTAGTGGTCTCGCATTCCAGGCATGTAATATCGTAACTGAGTTGTCCCTCAAATAGCTGTGTGATAATAGATGTCTCACCGGCGATCACTCTGTTTTCTCTTGCACCAGTTGCACTTCCTTGGCATCTTCTGCTGCTTGACTATAAAAGGGGAAAAAGAAATCAGCAAAATACAAGTAACCCACTGTTTCACAAGTGCCTTCATAGCTATTAATGTTCACAAGACGGTATCTCATGTCTTGACAACTAAATCTGCAGAAGAAACAGAATGAATTACAGCTGCTCATGCCATTAAAATTTTCATCATATACTTAACAATTTTTCAAGAGAGTCTATGGACAACAAGGGTGTTTCTAAACAGTCTCTTTTCCATCCTCTTTTCCATACTATTCCATCCTCCCCATTACTAAGAATAGTAATTACCCTTACCTGAATAACACGGTTCATGAAAGCAAGCTGCCATCCCTGCGATGCCCAGGAGGGGACAGGCTCTTGCAACGTGACAGTTAATCATTAGATGTCTGTGACCTCATTATAAAGTCCCAGCGTTTTCATCAGCTGTAGCAATACTTACAGGTATTGACCAGAGCTGTGGCTTGGTTTCTAAAGAACTAGAGTCAGAGGGTCCAGATAAAAGGACAAGGTGGCATAACCAGTGTTCAAAGTGTTTTGTCCCAGTGCTATTATTATCAGCAACCCCTTCCAGCTCCCTATTAGCTCAGCAGCCTTGATCACAGAGTGACTGACACGGTGCTTTGGCCACCCAGGGTAGTCCCCATGTCATCCCAGCAGCTCCTCACACAGTATCAAACACGAGTGTCTGTGAAGGATGAGCTCCGACTTGCTCAGCGGTTCTGAAGAGGAAACAGTGACAGCCCCAGAGGTCCCCGTGGGCTCTCACCTTCTTGAGAGCCTCATGGAGTTCATTGAGCACACAGATCAGAAACTCCTGCGCGTCCTGCTGAGTCTGCTTGGTAAACGCCGGGTACCGCTCCCCAAGGACCGAACGAAAAACCTCCGGGGAAACGCAGTCAAACTCCCCCAGCCACATGTCAGACATCAGATAGCCAAAGGCAGTCGCAGACTCGCCATTCTCCCTTGAAAAACAAAAAAACCCAAGTTTCAGGTAACGTATGATAATGTGGTAGCTCTCCTTCCTAACAGGACCATAACAGACAAGCTTAGAAAACATATATAGGTACAACTCTGATTGATTGCCTCTGTTGTTTGGTTCAAGGGTCTTTGCAGATAGTAGAAAGCAATAAGAATCATCGGTGAGCCAAAAAAGGCAGTAAGAAAAAATAATCAGTGTGAATAAAACAACTTACTTGCACAGGGCCGCTACATACTTTCCCGAGAGGAAGTACTCCACAAGGGGTGACATGCTGCAGAGGCACTGCAGGACGGCGTTCATGTAGCACGTGTTGCCCAGGTTTCGCAGCCCCGTGAGCCCTTGGTACAGGTGGTTCATCTTATCCATTGAGTCTTTGCTGGAATCTCTCAAGTTCTCCAAGCAAACAGAGCTGCATTTCCAACTAGCAGGGAGAAACACACAGCGGTGCAAAGTTAAGATGCTACAAAGCACTTGGTATTGAGCAACTTGTCTCGAGGCAATGTTTTCTGCTGCGTCAAAATCATTGCAGGTCCATTCACATTTACTTTCCCTGAGCTAATACAGTGATAAAGACCTCCTAAGCCTATAAGTCTGTAGAAAACTACATAGGCCACACCGCTAGCATTCAGGTAGGAAAAGCCATCTCTAGCACTGATCACGCTTTCCCTCTGTCCTAGGCAGACAACTTGCACCAAGATCTCCCCTCCCTGCCTTGCACCTCGCTTGTTCCTCACTTCTGCACCCACCTGAGATTTGCCCCTGTTCCTCAGCGAGAGGCTCTGCTCCAGCCCCTCGGCTGCGGCGCTCCCGTGGCACCACTGGGAGAAGCCACACGGCCGCTTTGCTGATTGCAGCGAGCGCAGCACATGGAAACACAACCCGGCCAAAGCACCGGGACGGCTGCGCCTTGGCCGGGGGATGCAGCACAGAGCCAGGGAGCGCTCAAAATCAGTAACTAATTTTGGACCTTGTATGGAAGCTGGATTTTTGACAGAAAACTTGAACAAGTGCATACGCTGTCCACATTTCTCCATATTTAAGACAGTAGTAGTACATAGCTTATAGCAGTATTACTGTTAATTAAATGAGCCTTCCTCACTGGAAACAGCAGTGACAGCACATCACAAAGATAAGATGGACACAGGTTCCCTCTTTTATCAAATGGTTCCTCCCAGCCAAGCAACTTCCAAGCTTACAGTTTTAAACTTCATTTTGATATGGAAACATCAGAAAAGCTGCACTGCTGGAGAGACAAAACCCGTCACCTCTCCCAGGCTGAGGGCTGTTTTCAACCACCTAATGCCCGCACAGCCGCAACGGTACCGAGAGCAGCAGCGTCTCCGGGCAGCGGCACCTCTAGCTCTGCGGCCGCCTCGTGCGGCCCCCGCGGCCCGCGCAGGACTCACAGGGAGTACAACAGGTCGGCGTCGTCGGGAGC